GGGGGGGGGGGGGGGGGGGGGGGGGGGGCAACCAGGTTAAATCATGTCACAACAAACTATTAGATGGGTTTTGGCGCAAAAAAATAGAAAATAAAAATAGAGTGGGGGTAAATTAAAACTTATGTTTCTTGTGCTACATCATGGTACTTGACAGAACCATAAAATAATGGTACCAAATATTCTTGGATGAATCATTATACAATGTTGCATGGCACTTGAAAGACTTGATTGACAAAACTGTAATATTGTTTGGATCTAGAACAAGAAAAGATGTAGCGAGATATTGGGAAACAAAACCAAGACAGAAATAGCAAAGTAGATCTCAAAATTTCATCCTGCAAAACGTTGCTGCACTTTTACAACCAGTTACAAAATTGGAATGCACGGCAAAACTACCCTGACAGGTCCAAAATGGAGGTGCAAGATTTATTGTGCTCAATTTACATCTGCTAACTCAACGTCAAATACCAGCCATGAATTTGGTGGAATAGTCCCACCAGCTCCTTTAGCTCCATAACTATATTTAGAAAACCAAATAGTTGTTGGTTATGCACACGTGAAGATGAAGTGGAAGATTTTATTCAAAATCTACATAGACAATAGACTTCCCTGCCTACAGAAAGATAACAGAATTTTGCACGAGCAGAAACATGCCAAATGGGAAATTTTCGCAATGTGAAATTTTGCTATGAGAAGCACGTTAGAATGTGCTTAAAAGTTTTCAAAAAAGTAATTTACGAATTAGTTTCTGGAAAAGCTGTCAGTCAAAAAGCTAGCTTTTAAAATCATGTATGACAAAATAAGTAACTTAAAGTTGCCATACATGCTGTAGAATGTGTTGTCGATTCCACAAAGAACATCACTAAAACTAAAGAGCATGAAGAGATTAATTGCATACCCCATGGCAGGTGGAATTGTAAGTCTCCTTTTGTCTCCAATACGCATGCCTGATGATAAAAGGAAAGGAAACAAATTATCAAAAATCTTTTACAAGCAATCAACAAAAGTTTATTAGAAGGAAGTATGCACGATTAAAATAATTACCATTAACCCCAACATCCCATCCCTTGATAACTTGTCCTATACCTGCAACGACAAAGTGCATTAATTAACACAAAGAATTGAGAAATTTCTTGAAGCAAAGAATTGAGAAATTTCTTGAAACACTTGTTGAACACAACATACCTAAACGAAATTTGAAGGGTGCCTTGCCAATATTCGAGTCAAATATTTTGCCATTCTTCTTCAGCTTGCCAATGTAATAGACACTAACCTGTATATCAGAAAGTAAAGATTTGTTTTGTACAAGTGTTGAAACATGTTCCAGAGGATCTTCACAAAAAGTCAAAACCATGAAAACATAGTCACATAAATAGAATAGTCTTGTCATAATTATAGTTCTCGTGATTAATAGTTTTGAATGCCAACCTGCAGCCTTAAATACATTTGATGTAGTGGGGAAAGATAAGTAAAGACCTCAACCCAATTTGAAAATAACACAATTTGCTTTTGATTCGTCCCATAACGTTGTTTGGTTTCATGTTATTACTCATATATTCTTTGTACAGAATTTTGAATGTGCTTTTAGATGGTCAAGGGTAAGGGCAGTGAGGATGATGGCTAACAGAGTGAATATATGAGTAACCCATAAAAAGAGTCCGAATCACCTTTTTCCCTAAAGAAGCTCTTTTCCCATCTGGTTTACCCATGGCCACCTCCTCTATGACCAACCCATTTGGGTACGTCCTCACTTGCAAAGATTTGGCTTCTTGCTTCTCTTCCTTCTCCACGATGGATCCATTTTTATCTATTAAACTTTTATCTTCATTCATGTTCGATGCAATCTCCTGTGTTTTATTCTGTTTACTTTTCTTCTTTTTTTCTTTCTTCCTGCATGATTTTAACGGATAGAATCAATATCAAAAGATGATATTTAGTGTATGAATTATTTCAAGGTACATAAAAATCATTAGACCTTTAAACACCTACCTACCACAGGGAAAGAGAGAGTATAAAGTGTGATTCTTTACAACGTATTACTATTTATTAAGTTGAAATGAGATACAATTTTGGATCAAAATCTTGGTCCACAAACAACAAAAACAACATTTCTAAGATTTGCAACTGCAGTGTTTAATTAAACAACTAAAAGACTACGTGTCGGGAAAGCAAAACTCACTTCTCATTTGTTGGCTTCGAGTCATTTTCCATCTCAGCCATTGGCAGCTGCTCTGCATCATTGGAATCTGCAACAACAGTTTCCTGAGCCTTCTTCGTTACCTTTTTCTTCTTATTCTTTTTCTTTTGTTTAGCATCATTTTTAGACAAATTATCAGGTGTATCTGAAGAGCCATGGGGTGTGTCGTCTTCTCTACTTACAAGGGTGGAACAAGAACATAGAAATAAGTAAACAAATGTTTAAAAAAGCAACCAATTTTAGAGTGTAGATACTAAAACTAATCGGCTACAGTCAGACAAAATTCAATATACAAATTCCCACCTTCCATGTTCTCCATCTCGACCAACTGCATCAATCTTTCTTTTCAAATTTTTGCTTGCTTCAGTTTTTGGTTTCTTTTTCTGGGATTCCGCATCTGCATTATCATCTTTGATTTGTTCTGATTTTGATATGGAGTTTGAAAAATGCGTTTTGTCTCCGCCTGTAGATACTGGAAAACCATCTTCATCTTCACTTTCCAAGACAGGAACATCGTGTCCACTCTTGACCACAAGCTGCCGATCAGAATCCACGTTATCATCAGACATGTTCGACCGAATTTTCTTCTTTTTTGACCGTTTAGACACACCATTCTCATAGACAGGCTTTTCATCATCCACTATTTCTTCTATTCTCACTTTTATGATGGACAAAAACACAAGAATGAAGAAAATATTGTCAAAAATAGTGATATGGATATGCCAGAGATGTTATTATGCAATTCATGGTAACATGGATAATTTAACTGGTAACGTCAAATTTCTGGTTAACTTTTTATCCATCTTTTGTCAATTAATCAAAAATCTACTTCCAAGATACATGGTAGAAATGTCATTTTGACACTAAAGTCGTACAAGTTAAAACAAACTGACGTGGCAGAATGTATTGGTAGATAATCTTCCAAATATCCATTTCCTCCTCCTTCAGAGACTAAAAAACCAGGACTATCTTAAACCATCAAAAAGCATTTGAAGGGAGGAAATGAAAAGGGACCACTAAAGGCACAAAGAAACCACAGAACAGTTTCACCCCACAATTGAAACAGGGGCCATTCACTCTCATGGAAGATTGTCTTCCTCATCTATTGATCAAGAAACAAGATCTTGAACTTGTTAAAAGGATTTAGCTCGAGGCAAAATGCAATTGGAACACAAGACAACAGATTACTTCCAGAAACTACCTCCACTGTTGGGGACAGGAGAAGTTGGGATTATGCCAAGATCATCATCATCATCAATAAAGACACCATCCTCATCTTCACCTTCAGAATCATAATTCATAAAATCATTCTCATCTTCAGAATCAATCCCCACGATATTCTCTTCATAAGCATCGCTTAAATCATTGTTAAAGAAATAAAACAAAAAATAGCTAAAAGCATACATGCACACTTTTACTCTTGATCCATATAAAAAATGTTATCTTACAAAGAAGCATACAATAAATAGCCACGAATATATACAAAGTATTAGTTAAGAAACAACTAAAGAAGGATACGACCCAGAATCATCTCCAAGTTTGTCCTGATCAGTTTCACCATAGAAGAAACCGGAGAGATGCACACTGTGAGGGCCAATAACCGAGAACATAACTTCATCCTCCTCCTCAAACTCGAGATTCAACGTGCAAGTCTCAAGTATTTCAGGTAGCAATGAACATAAGTAAATGGGACTTTTATCTCCCACATTACACTGAACTTTGCTCTTCTTAGTTGAAGAACCACTACCCAGCGTTGCCTAAATATCAACAACACAAGCAATCAATATTTCATGATCCAGGGCATAAACCCAAGCCATATGCCAATCCGGGAAATTAGAGCTTAAACACTTTATAATTTTGCAAAAACATGATAATTCAGGGTTAAACATTAACTATAAATCCATAATCAGACTGCGTGTGCGTGCGTAATAGTATATTGACAAACGGCATCTCTAAGCTCTCAAGTTCATATATATTAAATAAAGCATTTCAGAAATTAAAAGCATACCATCAAAACATTAGAAAGATTACAAAACTTACTAGAAAGTAAAGTAGAAAACAAACCTGAGATATATGAAGTCTTCCCCTCTCATTGTCGTACCGATGGATATAGGGTTTGCTTGGTTTTACTTCAATGCCTAGTCACAAAATCAAACATAAAAGATACATAAAAATAATGGTTTGTCTGATTATAATTATGTCTATGTAAGTTCGCATACCCCAGAAAGCCATTGGTGATGTGGAATTGCAGCGTAGTTCTCTAAACCCTAGGAGAGTGAAACTGTGCACTTTAGAAGCTTTAAAACCCTAGGGAAGGCAGCGGGCGGGGCAGCAGCTTGCCGGCCCCATCTTTTCAAATTTTAATTGTTGGAATATTACTTTTTTTTTTTAAATGTGTGATTAAAAAAAAAATTATTTGATTTACGTATAATATTATTTTATAAAAAATTGTGTTGTTGAAAATAAGAGAGAGAAAAAGAATGAGAACGAGAATAGGGCCAAACAGGGGCTATATATTTTTTTTTTTTTTTTTTTTTTTTTCCCACATTTTCAAAATTTCAAGTTATACTATTATTAGAAAATGAAGTACAAATTCAAAATGAAATTTTAATGAGTGAATTCTCTAAAAATATAATTATTTTTAAATTTTTCTTCGCGGTGCGGGGTGGATTCTTTTGGCCCCGCTAGAAGGAGTTTTTTTGCTATCACTATAAAACCCCAACGCCAAAATAATGGGGTTATGGAGGCACGGAAAAGCATCCTACTTGGGCAAAGTTGTGACACGTGGAAAACAAAGGTGGGAAAATGTTTTCATTTATATTTCATTTAGGCGATGTATTCATTTGAAACTTTTAAAAAATATATTAGAATTTAAAAAATTTAGATGTATTCAATTAGGACTTTTAAAGACTCCCTAAAAGTTATGGGGGATTCAATTAAAATTTGTAAGAAGTCTCTATAAATCATACTATATTCAAATAGATAGTGATTTTTAGAGTGTTTTTCTACTTATTGGACCAAATTCAAAAGAGAGTCTCTCACATACTCTGAAATTTATGAAGATTTCACAGCCCTGAAAAATATGTCTATTTTCTTTCAATTCTAGGATTTTTCTACATCTCTTCAATCATTTGTTGTAATTAATTTATGATTATTCTGTATGTATATACTTACTTTTGAATTAAAATTATATGCAATTATTTCAAAATGTAGAATTTCATGTAATCGATATAATTTTTTTTTTATTTTTTTGGTTAAGAATAATTTGTGTTCTTAAAAATTATGTTAAATTCGTTAAAAAAATAATAAATAAAAATAAAAATTGGTTATGTTCTTAAAAATTAATGTAAAAGTTTTTTACTATTTTCTTTGCGCCAAAATTGAATTACTGGACTTTGACTAGTGAATTTACTCAAGAAAATGTTGTGGGCATCATGGTTCTCAAAAATATTACATATGTAGTAAGAAAGATTGTAATTTTTCAAGTATACAATGAATTTGCAAAATGAAAAGTCTTTAATCAAAGTTTACAGAAGTCCATGAAAAAACTTTTACTAATTATTAACAAATCCATAGAAATCAAAGTTCATAAAATTCATAAAAGTCACTCACTTAAAAATAATAATAATAATAATTATGGAAGCCTTTTAGTACCGAGGGCAAAGTCTTGAATGACTGTTATACTTATGCACATCAATTTCTCCAAAACTTAAGTAGACACCTACCAAATAAATAAAAAAATTGTCACTTAAGTAAAGTATATATGTTTATAAAAAATTTCTCCAATACAATTTAGATAGAACTCCTTGTAGATACGAGTAATAGAAAGTGAATATTGTTGAGAAAACCTATTTGCTTTAGAAAATCTTCTGACTGTAAATGCTTTTTTAGACGATTGAAGTGACAAAATCCATTCGTATTTAGTATTGATGGTTCATGGTTTATAATTGTGAACATAGGCAAACTCTCTCTCTTGAGATACAAATAAAATTCAACATCAAATGCATTTACCAAACTAGCTGTAAAGAATTCACGACTGTCTACAACAAGAAGTCAGGCCCTGCTCGAGGAGATTAGAACCAAATCAGAAAATAATTAGTGGACTTGGCTTAAAGAATTCAAGACATACTCAAAACCTTGTTAGCTGGATGTGTACTACAGACATCTGTTACAATAAAATGTGTTGCTTGTGGTCAAAAAGCACTTTGATATTCACTAGTACTCGACGTGACAAGAATAATAAAAGATAAGAACATAAGAATTTGGTCGGTGCTCTAGGATAGTCTTAGTCCATTAACTCGAGTGCGCAGTCTCAAGGAAGTAAGAAATGCTCTGATCAGAGGAAAAAGATAAAAGAGCAAAGTGAAAGAATCCTTGCAGAATAAATTTCCTTAATACATGAGATTAAAAGGGAAAAGTAGACAATGGATCAAGACAACATTCACAAAACGGATCCAGTCCTCAGCAAAAGAACTGTGCCCATAATACAGTCGTTCTTAAAATTTTCACCATTAAGTTAGAAGGAATCTATCTCCAATTCGGCTGCGACGCTACATGATGCTCGAATAAGGAGTCAGGAGAAACTAGTGAATGTAAAATGAAATTAACTTAGTAACCGAGTTCTTGTAAAATTGTTTCCATTGACGGCCTCTCCTCCGGAGAATCATGTGTACACCACACAGCAACTTTCGCAATCTTTGCAGCATCAGGTTCGAAGAAACTCCCGTGAAGATTTGAATCTATGAACTCTTGGAATCTGCACGACTCTGCAGCAGCCCGCAAGGAACTGGTATATTTACGCTTCCCAGAAAGGATCTGGAAAATAAGCACCCCAAAAGCATAAATATCACTTTTTTCGGTGAACCTTCCAGTATTAATGTATTCAGGAGCAAGATATCCCATTCCGGCACTGGCCTTGAGTACTGAGAAGATGGTGTCATTTGTGAGAAGCTCGTGCAGGCCCGAATCAGATAGCAAAGGTTTAAATTGCTGGTCGATGAGCACGTTCTTAGCAGAAATGTTTTGGTGAACCAGAGAAAACTTGTTTATGCTTACCGCGTGTAAGTACTCCATACCTGCTTAGAAAAAATAAGAACCTTAGATTTGAGCGTAACTGATAAACCAAAGTATCAGGGATTCATGAAAATTTTGTGTTCCACGTACTGAACTACAGAAGGCATTATGAAAAGCAGACCCGTGGGATTTTAATTGAGTGGTATTGTGCAGCTTTGTGTTGTGTAGTAAATACAACAAGAAACGACCTATATAATCTAATAACATCTTCCAGGATCTAAAGAAAGGACAATGAGATGGAAGTTTACAAAGTTAGACTGTCAAGTACAACAAATGGAATAAACGGCGGGAGGATGTTTTGGAACCAAAGAGAAATGGAACTCGTTGGACACTAATGTAACTTACCATGCATGTTTGGTACGATTACTAAACAGTATAACAAAATTTTTGTTAATACTGTGAATGATATCAAATCCCCCATACCAAACATGTCGTCATTGTGTTATAATTGCTTTTGAAACTCTATCAAGAATTTAGAAGTGAACTCACCTTTGGCAATGCTGTTGATGATAAAAACTCTGGTAGACCAGTCTGTTGGGAATCTACTTATACATGCACAGCGGAATTTAAAATAATTTTCGATTCCCACCAAGAATCGCCTATGCGTTTAGATAGAAATTGTGATAAGATTGTACCTTTTCCAGATCTGCAATCTTTTTGCTTTTCTTTTCGTTCTATCAACCTTGATTCGCCACCACAGCTGTCCAATTGTCCAGCCTCCAACGGTGATCCACACAGAGAATAAGGTTGCAACTTCTAGGGTTTTCTCTTGTGCCAGCAAGAATAATGAAAACCTTATGGACCTCAAACCCTAGTTATGTATTTATATAAACCCAAACAGGCTCGACCCGGTCCGGTCCAATAATTAATTAATCCAATTAATTAAACCCGGTCCGTGAATTAATTAATCCAATTAATTAATTCGAAAATATAAATAACAAATCCAATTAATTAATTTATCCAACGATTGTTAAATTAACCAATTGGCAATTTGCAATCTTCCAATTCTCTTTTGTGTGTGACCCATTAGGTTCTCGACCACGATACCTAACGACGTGAAATATTATTTCGATCTAATCAAAATTGATAAATTAAAACACCCTTTTAATTTATCGTCAATTCACATTCGCCGTCCCTGATTGACATCTAGCAATGTGTCAGGGCAATACATGTGACGGGAAATGTCACGTGGTATGACAAAACCAAATTCGTTCGTTTACCGTAAAACTATAATCCCTTCGTCAATATGATCCGATCAATTACGAGATATGGAATTGTGTCAATCTCGATCATCGATCATATCTTTCACTCCACTATTAAGTCAATATAAATCGAAAACTCTTTTTCGACTTATGAGTACACCTTGGCCAAGGATTTGATCATTGACTTAATTGAATAAAACGCAGATCATAATCTCCTACTATCTAAGAGTGACGAATCCTTTATTGATCAATCACAACCTTCATACGATTCTTGACGTACCCGAACGATATCGTATTAGCGGCCCTTTTCAGAGCAACATCCAACACCGCCAAAGTATGACTGTCCTCATATAAGGTACTATGACGACCTCAAGTCAAAGGACCAATTCCACTACCGAACGTTAGAGATTAACCACTGACACTCAGATAGTTATCCATGTGGAATCTCTCGACGGGTCTCCAATGTTTTGTTCTATAACAAAAACATCCACATGTTCATTTAAGTGTCACCACACTTTAGCTTGTGAGATCAGCTACTTACTTCACAAGTAAGAAATGCCACACGTGATGGTCTATCCGTAATAACGATATCCGTATCTCGTTATTACTTACGACCACGGATGATTTAAGATTCAATCAGATGTAATTTGTATATCACAATCACAACTCCTTGTGATTAACAAATTACAAATATTTGAATCTACGGACTCTATTATTTATTTAATTGTCTATTAATTAAATAATAGATCTGCCATTTAATTGCATTAATTATATATAAAAGTATTTATGTCCAAAGTTGATTGGACCTAGGGCATAATACTTACACAGTCAAGAATCTGACCATCTCCCTCCTTGACATCGAGATACCGAAATAAATTTCCATTTGGAACAAGATCATAAACAAGGAAACACTCGCCACGGCCTCGGGAACAGCAAAACCCTCTCAGTCTAACTAAATTTTCATGTCTCAGTGAGCTTAGGACATTCAATCCCTTTAAGAATTCAGCTTCCTCAGACTTGCAACTAGTTTTCGTGATTCTTTTAATAGCAACAACAGAT